TATCCTATGTTTGCCGCTATGCCACGTGATCTACTAAGTAGCATTGAAATATTGTTTTAGTGCATGAAACAAGATGCTAATGAGAGGAGCCAAATGACAGGTGAAACATTTGAGATATGCATTTATATAAAAGATTGGTTGGATGCAGAAATATACCGCAAGATAAAGAACATAATACACGCCATCCAATGTATCACGCGAAGAAGAGGAAGGAGGGACTTGAAGAATATTTTTAGATTATTATAAATTTTGAGATTTTCAATTTTATTTAATCTTGTAAGTTATCTGTAATATTTTTCAATTCCATTGTGAATTTTTAATTTTAATTGTGTTATAGCATTTTTTCATTTTCATTGTATTTTTTTTTCAATTTTGTTTAATCATTTTATATTTTTATTGTATGAATCGATTATTCATATGGAACAAAATTTTAAGAATATTTTTTTTTTCAAATTATTGTTGCAATAATTGAATTTGTCATTTTTTTCATTAAATTTTTTCAGTTTTTGATTTTTTTAATGAAAAAAATAAATAAAATGAAATAATACGGGCTGACCCCCAGCCTAGGCTCATTCAAGTTGGACTAAGAACTCCCCTCTTGGGTGATGTCAACAGACATAGACCTCCCCTCTGTTAACAGTCCGTCAAGAACCATTTACACGTGACTTCACATGATGCTGATTTTTGTTGAAAATCTCAAATTTGCCCCTTGACGGACCTCTGGCCATGATTAATAGCTCAAAATGTTGGAAGAAACATTGTCTTTGTTTTCTTTTCTCACTTTAGGTCTTCTGTTCTCCATCTTCATAGCACTGTATAGTTTCGTACTCCTCTATTTTCTGTGGATTTTCCTAGGCCATGTTTTTTCTCCTGTCTTAATTGGAATTTTCTATCAACCTTGCTTGGATTATAGGAGCCGTTCAAAGTATTGAAGAAGGGAATACTTTTCTGACAGTTTTAAAAAAAAAACTCTGCTTCCACAAGACCTGAAGACGAAGATGAGAAATGGGTTGCAATACGAACACGGTCCAAAATGAAATTTTATTTTGTTCCTAAAAGTTTGTTTGGTAAGAAGATAAATTTGTCAGTGTATAATTAATCCAATTTTGTAATTTATACGAACCATTTTATATTCTACATATTTGCGTTTACATTTATTGGCATTGTTTCCAAACACATCCTAAAGTCCAAAGTTAGAAAGAAAGAAAAACAGCACAAAATAAATAAATAAATATCACAAAAATACCACTGGTTGGGGATGGACCCCACTCATTTAGGCTGCGTTTTAAATCAGTGTTAATGAATTTTTATACCGATGGAGTTATACACCTATTGGTTTAAAAGTGTTAAATGATATCTAGTATTATCGATGTATTTTTTTACATTGTTTTTATTGAAATTACATTTACACTGATAATGATGTAAAACTCAATATGTGTGGAGTTTTACCTTGATTTTCGATGTTTGATTACTCTCCATCCAAACAATTACAAAATCAGACCAGAATATAAAATAAGGTAAATTTCTTAAACTACCCTTATGGTTTAGCTAATTGATTAAAGTGGCGTTTGATTGTACTTTTCAGATCTGAAATTTTTAAACTCAGGCTTGTCACTTAACGCGTTTAGATCTCTCCGCCATATCTTCTACCAAAGCCACTGTAAAATTGCAACAGCGGTTCTCTCTCTCTCTCTCTCTCTCCGCCTTGTCTTCCCGCCATCGCCGCTGCAACTTGCAGCGGGAGAGGGAGAGATTTGAAAAAATCTCTTTGTTTTATTCTCTAGAACCCTCGGAATTTGATTTGGTTGCAGCCGAAACCAGAGGGAGTACACATCCCTCTTTGTTTTCTGTGAGAGTAATACATCTTCAATGTTTTTTGTTTTTTTTTTTTTGAAATGAAAAGGTGTTAGAAACAAGAGCAAGTATTATGAAAATCCAAGAGAATAAGAACAACTAGTTATACTGGGATCAACGGTAGCATGAAGAGAGAGGGTATTGTGTGATTCTTGGGTTTTTGCCGGAACTAAGGATGTTGGAACTAAGATCTCAGCCTTAGTATAGACCTTAGTTCCTGGGTTTTCGTCAGAACTGAGAATGTTGAAACTAAGATCTCTTTGCCGGAACTGAGATTGACATCTATGCCTCTGGCTTTTCGTTTGAAATAGATAAAGAAGTAATGAAGAAAAAGGGTGTTTTAGAATAGAAGTCAAAGGGTGTTTTTAAGAATGAATGTAAAAAGGGTATTTTAGGAATTTTTAATAAATAAATCAGTCACGTGATGTCACATGTAACAAAAAGTTAACGGATGTTAACAGTAAGGGTAGAGTTAGTCAATTATCCAAAACAGTAAGGATAGTATTAATCAATTTTCAAACAGTAAAGATATACTTAATCAATTAATTAAATCATAAGATAAAATAACACTGATTTAATATTTACACCACAAACAAACACAACCTAATACATTTCTCTTTACCCCCGCCATAGATGTAAAATACAAAGAAAGAGAAGAGAAGAATGAGGTGAATGAAAAGCAAGAAACTCGTCAAATGGGTATCAACAGATTGTTGTCACTTTACCACCTAGAATCTGACACAGGCGACTCGTCGGAGGGAGAATTCCTAGATCGATTTGTGAGATTCTCCCAAAAATATATTTCACATGGCACAAAAATGATAAATAGGGATTAATTGAGATGCCTCTAGATGCCAAGTGTAGTCCAGTTTTTCACGTTGAAGAGGACAGTCTGATTGAAATCGACATTTCTCCTATCGGAGCTTGAAGGAAATACTGATTTTTTTTCCCAGTTTGTGTCAAATTCAATTAACACAGGTTAATTAAATATAGAAATCCATATTTGAATTCCAACTTATTCAAAAATCAAGGGTAGATGAAGAAAGTATTCAAAATGGTGATTGACTACCTCAGTTTGTGAGGCATTGTTGATGTTATCTGTTGTTTTATTGGCAAAGGCAAATCCAAAAGCGGACGATCGGATACAACTCTTATATTGCCCATTTCAGCTCTGTGATGCGGTTCAATTTGCATAGTATTAGATCTGAACTTCACTTGATCTGCGGTAGTGGTCATCTCTACGTTAGAATGCTGCAAAGATACTACTTTGGCTCCTTGGCTCACTAAAACTGAATCTACTTGCTGCAAGTTCCCCATTTTGAAAATTTGAAAAATTAAAAGGGCAATAAAAACATTTTAATGATTTCATTATACGAAAATTCCCAATAGTTATCGTGTACTTTAGGTCGAGTGCTAATTTAGTACTCGAACTTTAAAATGCAACAATCTAGTATCTAAACTTTCGAAATGCAACAATCTAATACCTATCATTAATAGACTATCAATTATGTATATCACATGACCTCATGTGCGATTTAAGATTTTTAAAATATCAAAATTATTCTTAGAAATAAAACACATTATTCATTATCTTATTTCTCAAAAAAATGAAAATCCAGTGGTAACCCAAATTTCTTGATCCATCCACCACCGCTCACGTATTTGGCATCATCAGAGGCAAGGTACAGTGTGGCATTTGCAATGTCTTCAACTTCACAATTGGCCCCAACCAACTCTCTGGGACCCTAAACCATCTCCACATGGCGTTGTTCATCAACACCGGGAAACATCTTGACCATTAATTCCATCACAAACGAGGTCAGAATGGCGAATGATGAGATGCAATTAACCCGAATGCGATACTTGCACATCTCAGCTGCAACTATAAGTAAGAACTAAGAAGAAGCTTTCACTTCCAAGCCCAAAACCTCTTTTTTACATAATTGATCTGATCGTTGGGGTGATAAACCCTAGCCGGTATTATCGTCCTTGCACAAAACCTTACACTTGACCACATTACTGTAGACGTAGAATCCTAGTGCCACCATTATCCGGACCACAGCCAAAACCAGCTTCCGAGCTCTGTCTGCACCCATGTCCTCCATGTACACCCCATCGAACCTCATCCCCTTTATCCACCCAGAATATGGGCAAGCTTGGATGCACCAAACAAGCCAATAGATGAACCAACTAGACGTTCTTCGTCGCACCAAAGAATGCTTGCAGCAATGGCTCCGGCCATGCTCGGTTCCACTCCAACATCGCCACGATCTCGCTCATCTTTCGATCGCAAAACCGGCTGAACTCCTCGCTGAAGTGTTTGGTTCCTTTCTTCAACACCTCGTCCCAGGTGAGTCCCCTAAGAAGAGTGAAGGAAGCGTAGTTCGCTTCGCATTTTTGTATTGGGTTGAGGATTCGCTCGGACCCACTTTTCTGAAATCCGATGGATTCGAAGTCTTCGTAGAATGCTCGGTTCAGGAGTGCTTCCAGGTAGAACATGGTGCTTCTTAATAAAGGAAGTTAGATGACACTTTTGAAGAGTATTTGTGTCTTTTTTCTTAACACTTAAGAGCTAATTATTGTATTTAAAAAATTCGAATATTTAAATTGTCGTATTTTAAAATTTGGATACTAAAGCGGCACTCGACTTAAAGTAGAGGATATCTATCCGAAATTTTCCTTTGGGCTCAATTTGGAAGGAATACAAATACAAATATATACAATATAAATACATACAAAATATAAAATTTTACACTCTACATATTTAGATTTGTATTCTTTCCAAACTGAGCCTAAATCTAACACGGGAGTCAATTTTGTTTTGAAAAGGGAAGGTTTTAGTATTTACGGGAAAACTCCCTTGCCCTAGAAAACAATCCTAGTTTTTAGCTTTCAAAGTAAAAGAAAAATCCTAATTTTTCGCGCACCGGGAAGAATTAAAGAAATCAGAAAGTTACGTATTACTGTATTAGTCTATTACTATTAGGAGTCTACATATATATAATAGGTTACTTATTCCTGTGTTATAATCACGTGGTGAGTGTGACACATATTCCGTTTGGATTCGATTTTCGAAGTCCAAATAAATTTAGAAAATATTATTTTGGAAGGGTTTTCTGTCGACTAGTTGCTAGTCAGCGCCCAAACCGCGATTGGTTAATTGATAACGAACGCTGTCGCTCAGTCTAATGCCTCCCGGGGGAAGGGGAAGAGGAAGAGGAGGGGGAAGGTGGGGTTACTTCTCCCCCAAATTACAGCTAACTCCTTATTATGTTCGCTGTCAAAGTTCGAATTTTATCATCGAGCTTCGCTCCAGTCGTCGCCCTCTTCTTAGTAAGTCTAATGTGGACGCTTTGCTTGCTCATTGTACTGTAACTCCCGACCGCTCCGAGGTTTTCCCCACGGATCTTGTTGCTGCCAAGTTGTATTTCCTGCAATGGAGCGATGCGTTAGAAGCGATGGTATTCTTCTGGGAGCGGCGCCTCGACGGTGCTCATCTTCTAGATCCTGTCCTCATATCCAATGTCATCGTCGCTTCTGATAAGGACGAGCAGAGGGACCGTATCAAATCCCTCTTTGTCGCTCGCGTTCACAGTCTTATGGAAGGGGAGGCCGTCCGGCGTTGTCAGAATAAGCTGCAGGTTACGTTGGATAACATTGCTGGACTCTCCAAAAGACTCCGGAAACAGCAAAAGCTCGCTACCTTCAATATGCTTGATGCGGAAAGGAAAGGCCTTCTTGCAGAGAGAGACCTTATCTCCAAGAGAATAAGAGAATTTAAATCTGCTATGCAATGCATTCTCGCTCACCTCGAAGGGAAGCGGTCCGGCGAATGTTGTGATGATGGAGTCGAGATATTTAAGTTCCATGGCGATTTTGACTGGAGTCGTATTCATCATTTGATGATACGGGAGCTCCGGAGGTTGGAAGATGGTTTGCCAGTGTATGCCTCGCGCCAGGAAATTCTTCGGGAAATACATTCCCATCAGGTAATCCTGATTCCTCACATCCATTCCTTTTGTTTAGTAGCTTCCTCATGGGATATAGAAGAATGATATATACTAGGATATGCTTGTGAAAATGCATACCCATAAGAAGTATAGTTCCATGGTCCATTCTTTCTTTCTTACCCAGAAGACTGAATTGTGGAAATCATGTCTTCTCTATCTGGTAGCGAAAGACGCTAATCCTCGCAAGCTCCTACCATTTGTTGTCACTCTGATCTCATCATCTCCTTGAAATCATTGTGCACAAGAACCCAACCTATAACGATGAACTTATGTTCTTGCCAATTCTTAGCAATGGCATATAGGATTTTCAATTACTCTTTTGCTGCACCTGCTTCGAGATGCACCAAAAGTCTACTAGAGGGGTAATCCTCCATAAAATAGCTCCTTTTATTATAAGGTAATCGAAGGCCATGACTGAAGGAGTTCAATTGATGTGCCTTATTATTCTGTAATCCACTTGGAAGATAGAGACAAAGAAGCGCTACATCTTTGTAGACATTTTGCAACTTGCATTATTCAAATAAGTGATCTGCGTTGTACCTAGCTTCCTCATATATTATACTTTTACTGCAAGTTGCAAGTTTGAAATTCCTGTCCCTGAGTTGATCTTAAGTATCTTGCCATCGGTTGCTGGCCAAGAAAAAACTTGCACTATAGGGGGAACTGGATTACTCTGACTCTTCATCAGAGCTGATGCAACTAGCCCTTCTCTTGCCAACACCCGTTCTCCTGCCAAAACTTCTTCTGTGGAGTTTGCTTATTTGTCACCCTTATCACCACCAACTGGAAAGCAAATAGATTCTCAACAATAGCATCTCTGATCAAGCAAGCTTTGTTCTTCACCTTTTTCCTTTTATATACTCTCTTGAATTTGCTACTTGGGCCTGCACTTATGAACCCATTTTTCAGCCTAGAGAAAACTTTGGTAATGTGAATTAGATGCCCTATGTTTGTGCTCTTCGTCTTCTTTGAAATTACTGATGTTTTCGGAAAGGATTTATGTTGTTTCAATAACCCAAGTTTTCTTGTTCCCTTCGTTTTCCTACCAAGATCTCTTCCTAATTTCCCCACTATGACTTTTGAGAAAACTACCTCTTCTTCCTTAAACTTATTACCAGCTTGAGAAACTACAATGGCTCCCTCAAAAGTTCTGGAGCTCTGCTCTGAGATCAAAGAAGAAACATCCGATAGAGAAGTAGCACCACTCTCTCGCGAGCACATTTCATCCGTAACAACTCGACGTTTTGGTGCTAAATCTTCCTCAACAATAGACAAAGGGGAACTAGGCTCTACCTCTCCACCGCAACCAGGCTGTGAATTCTCTTGCTCCACTCCTTCCAAACCTGTGAAAAAACTCTGAATTTTTTCTTTCCCACAGTTAATACCCACAAAAACCAGACTGGCAGAGGGAGCCAAACTCTCCATCGCTTTGGTCTCTCGAAGAGATCCATCTTTCAAAGGAGGACAATCTTGTCCAAGATCCATGCTGATCACACTATTTTCTTTGTTAAATTTTGTTACCACCCATTCCCAAAGCTTACTAGCCTTCCTATTTTTTGAATCGTTTTTTTCAATTTCCTCCTAGAGATTGAGGTTCTGCAGCCAAATGAATTCCTGGAACTCAACTGCAGAGTCCTCTTGTCCTTCTTGAAATGATGCATCTCCACTTTCTTTCCAATGGGCCCCTCATGATGAGAAGACGATAGACCATATAATGGGTCTATTGAAACATCAAGGCTTAAGCTGGTCACGTGCTTTTTAAAAAAGATATCTGGCCCAATCTCCAACAACTTCGGCCCAAACCTTACCAGCCTAGGATTTCTTTTATCTAAATGGGTCCTGGTTTTGGGCCCACCCCTTCTTACAACTCGAGCTTAAGCCGATTCTGCCCAACCCACTTGGGGAATAGTGGCTTAAATTGCTCGAATCTTGACCAAGTGTTGCCTTTTTGAACTCCTTTTCAACTCTTGCACCATTTTTAAAAACCCAATCAACTGTTCCCTCTTGACCTTTCAAGTTCCTGTTCCTCGAACCTAACGGAGGAGACATTAATGCTGTTTTCCTCCTATTGGTTGAAGCTACAGCAGGGGAACTGCCACATGCCAGCCCTTCCTCACGCGAGGAGGTTAGTATTTCTTCTTCCTGCTCCACTTCTTCTGAAAGCTTCAGATTTTGTTTAACACTTTAACCACTTTTGGGAATAGGGTTCCATCATTCATGATGTGCAGTTATTGTTGGCCATATAACACCATGTTCTCCATCTCTTCGTCTTCCCCCCCTGCGAGCATCCTTCCACAGAGTGGCTTCAATGGAGGCCGCTATCCATATGCTGTACGAAGTACTACCGGCCAGCAACTCAACATTTCTTGGAATGTCATCTAGTTTTACAGTGTTCAGCAGCACCGCAGCAAAGCGTAAATCCAAACTGAAAACTCCACCTAAGTGGCCATTGCAAGCTAAGGTGATTGACTCAAATAACTCCTGCTTCCAGAGATGAAATGGAAAACTGGAAACTCTAATGCTGCAATTTCAATCTAATCCTCCACCAGATGAAGTAATGTTTTTCTTTTCACAAAAGGGAGTTAAAATGACCATACCAGCACGCCTTTGATCTTCAATTCATTAATTAAGATATCAACTAACTTCTTCCAATCTGAAACAGCTTCTGTTATTTCAACCACTAGTTTGGTAGTCCAAATCTCCTTCCCAACATTCACTGTTATTTTGCAGTTACCATTAGGGTTCATAACCAAAAATCCATCCTGAGTCTGATCCTGAACTGTGTCACTGAAAACATCTCCCAACTTCTTTCTACAGCACCTTGGCTGTTGTGAATCATCAACCCGTAAGTTCAGAAACTCCCGTACTGTATCGTGAATCAACTCCCAGCCTTGAGCATTCTTACATCTTGGAAAACAGACCATCTGCATCCTTCCCAGGTCATAAAATTCTTGTAAAGTTATGAAGTGTCCTTTTGCGTTTCGTGTTTCCACAATATATTTTCTTTGTTCTTCCACCAACATACTTTTCAGATCTTTCTCCCTACTGGAAGAAACTCTTCTAGAAATTAGAAAACTTCCAAACCATTTCAAAGACTTGGTACCAACTAGCAACACCAACAGTAGCATTGCTTCTTTGATCTTCAAAGCCAATCTCCCATTGTATCTTAGCTCTTTAAACAGAAAATATTTTGCTTCAACCTTCACTGATTTTCTCCAAACACCCATCTGTTAGTGATGCACCAACCATGGCCTCCCCTTTGGACAGATCATTCACATGGATCCCAAGGTTGGTTAATTCTTTGGCAGATTATATATGGTAAAAGGACTAAATTGTGGGATTCAAGTTCTGCATTCCGTCTGTTTTGGGATGAAGGTTTTGTATTTGTATGTTATTTTGTGTTATGAGGCTTTTCCTATTATTTTCTTTTGATTTAGGTGCCATATTTGATTTCATATCTTTGGGATCTTTCCCCTTGTAGAGCCCACTTTTATTATGCCTGTAGTTTTTATTTCTATATTTTATCTTTAATATGGTATATGTTAATGGAGAAATATAAGTGTCAAAATCAATAGAAATTAGAACAAATTATGTTTTCTAGCCAAGCCCATATAGTTTGGATAAGGCTTGGATGATGATGATGAACAAATTATGTTTTCTATAATTTTGTTTTGATTCTATTTCAATTGTTTGAGACCTTCTTTTGAATTGAATTATGAGTTCTATATTTTCTTGCATTTACTCTTGTGTGTGAAAGCATGTAGTTTCTTGTGATTCTCCAAGAATCATATTCAGTTTCAATGCCTAAGGCAACATCTGTGGGTGAACTCAACAACCAAGACCAGTGACTAGGGCCACTGTATGGTTTAATGTATGTTGCAGAAAATGTATTGTGATTAAGCGCTAGTTTCATATGGAATGGTTTCTTTTTCATTAGTGGCATTCTTATTGGCTTTAATTGCTTGGATGGTTAGGTTGTATCCCATAACTGAAAGTGTAACAGTATGCCAATTTGGTTGTATCCCATTCTCCACACTGAATATGGTTACAAATATTAGTACTGTATTCAAATATTCTCTTTTTCTTTTTGATGACTAACTTCAAATTTTATTAAACGCAGGTAGTGAAACATTACCAGCCTCCCTTAGAGAGGCACAACATGCTACCTCTCTATATTAAAACAAAAGACAAATTACATTTGAGCCCAAAACAAATGAGTCGCATTCACCTTGCTCATTGTGTTGATCAAATATCTTGAAGCTCTACTCTTAATTTCCGAATTTTGATGTAGCATATTCAAGTGTAATTTTGAATTGCAGTACCTAACCAAGATTGAAACAGCTTTGCTGCCTATATCAATTTCTTTCCTTTTTATTTTCCCCCCTTTGTACTAACTCCCGTTACCACAGGTTATGGTATTGATTGGAGAAACTGGTTCTGGAAAGAGTACACAACTGGTTCAATTTCTTGCTGATTCAGGAATAGGTGCTGACAGGTCTATTATATGCACTCAACCACGCAAGATTGCTGCCATCTCTTTGGCACATAGGGTTTGGGAAGAGAGTAATGGGTGCTATGCAGATAATTCAGTTATTTGTTATCCAAATTACTCTTCCGTGCAGGGGTTTAATTCTAAGGTAATATTTATGACAGACCACTGTTTGTTACAGCACTACATGAATGATGAGAATTTGGCTAAGATTTCATGCATCATTATAGATGAGGCTCATGAAAGAAGTTTAAACACTGACCTCCTATTGGCCTTGGTTAAAAAGTTACTGGAACGGAGATTTGATTTAAGACTTATTATAATGTCTGCAACAGCTGACGCAAGCAAGCTTTCAGATTACTTCTTTGGTTGCAGAATGCTTCATGTGGTTGGGAGAAAATTTCCTGTTGAGCTCAAGCATGTTCCAGTTGCCCGTACAGAAACTTCTGCCATTTTGAAGCCCAATTCTGGTAATTATGCTTCATATGTTGCTGATACTGTGAAGATGGCTCTGGAGATCCATGCTAGAGAGGAGAAAGGGGCAATACTGGCCTTTTTGACTTCTCAAATGGAAGTAGAATGGGCTTGTGAAAATTTTCAAGCTCCCAATGCAGTTGCATTGGCTTTGCATGGAAAACTTTCTTATGAAGAGCAAGGCCGTGTTTTCCAGAACCATGCTGGGAAGAGAAAAGTTATTTTTGCAACAAATCTGGCAGAAACATCATTGACAATTCCTGGGGTTAAGTATGTAATTGATTCCGGCATGATTAAAGAGAGCAGATTTGAACCTACAACTGGTATGAATGTACTTAGAGTTTGCAGGGTTAGCCGGAGTTCTGCTGATCAACGAGCTGGCCGGGCTGGTCGAACAGAACCAGGCAAGTGTTACAGGTTATACTCTGAAAGTGATTTTGAGTCATTTTCTTCCCATCAAGAGCCAGAGATTCGTAGAGTTCACCTTGGGGTTGCAGTGCTGAGGATTCTTGCCTTGGGCATTAAGAATGTACAAGAATTTGATTTTGTTGACGCACCTAGTCCTAAGGCTATTGACATGGCCATTCAGAATCTTATTCAGTTGGGTGCTATCACATTAAAAAATGATGTTTTTGAATTTACAGACTGTGGTTGGAAATTGGTAAAGTTGGGTATTGAACCTCGGCTTGGTAAAATTATCCTTGATTGCAGTTACCATGGGTTGCATAAAGAGGGTGTTGTTCTTGCTGCAGTGATGGCCAACTCCAGTAGCATATTCTGCAGAGTTGGTGGTGATGAAGATAAATTAAGATCGGACTGTCATAAGGTGCAATTCTGCCATCCTGGGGGAGACCTCTTCACACTGCTCTCTGTTTACAAGGAGTGGGAAGAAGTCCCCGAGGAAAATAGAAATAAATGGTGCTGGAACAACAGCATAAATGCAAAATCCATGCGCAGATGTAAAGAGACAGTTCAGGAGTTAGAAAATTGCCTTCAAAATGAATTATACATTATTATCCCAAGTTACTGGCTTTGGAACCCCCATGTGCCCACTCAGCATGATAAAAAACTGAAGATGGTTATACTCTCAGCCCTTGCTGATAATGTGGCCATGTATTCTGGATACGATCGACTTGGTTATGAAGTGGCTTTAACTGGACGGCATGTCCCACTACATCCTTCCTGTTCATTGCTTGTATATGGTCAGAAGCCCAGTTGGGTTGTCTTTGGTGAAATCCTGTCAGTATCGAATCGATATTTGGTCTGTGTAACTGCACTTGATGATGAATGCATTTCTATGTCTTCTAGTCTGTTTGATATTTCACAGATGAAGAGCCGTAAGCTGCAGATGAGGTTGATGACCGGATTTGGCAGCATTTTGTTAAGAAGGTTCTGTGGGAAATTAAACACTAATGTGCTTCGTCTTGTCTCTCGTATTCAAACATACTGCAAGGATGAGCGGATTGGCATTGAAGTCAATGTTGATAAGAGAGAGATTCGACTATTTGCCACTTTAGGGGACATGGAAATTGCCACTGGCCTTGTTAATGATGCCTTGGAGTTAGAAAAAAAATGGTTAAGAGATGAGTGTATGGAAAAATGCTTGTACCGTGGTGGATCCGGTATTTCTCCCTCTTTTGCACTATTTGGATGTGGTGCTATGATTAGGCATCTGGAACTGGAAAAGCGATGTTTAACTGTGGACGTATATCATTCAGATGCAAGTGCAATTAATGATAAGGAACTTCTTATGTTTCTTGAGGATCATGTATCTGGAATTTCTGGTTATCATAAATATGCAGGTATTGTTCTCCTCTTTCTCTGTCTCTCTTAATAGGGCTGCCTAGAACTGCTAGGGCTGTTTGTAATGTTACATTTCCTTCAAGATTCTAATAAATTCCTTTTCAGTTACTCATGAAAAAAAAATATGCAGGTATTGGACAAGAAGGTGAGGGCACAGAAAAATGGGGCAGAATAACATTTCTAACTCCTGAAGATGCTGAAAAAGCTGTTGCAGAGCTTAGTGGTGTTGAATACTGTGGATCATTGCTGAAGATATCTCCTTCGAGGACAAGCTTTGCTGTTGATCACAGAATGTTTTCATTTCCGGCTGTACGAGCAAAAATTTTTTGGCCACGAAGGTATAGCAGGGGTTTTGCAGTTGTTAGGTGTGCAAAGCAGGATGTTGATTTTATTGTTGATGATTGCTCTGACTTGCTTATTGGAGGAAGATATGTCCATTGTGAAATTAGCAACAAATACATGGATTGTGTTGTTATATCTGGACTTGATAAAGAGGTTTCTGAATCAGAAATTTTCGATGTTCTGAGAACTGCAACACATGGGAGAATTCTGGATGTTTTTTTGTTGAGAGGCGATGCTGTGGAAAGCTTGTCATATACTGCTTGTGAAGAGGCACTTCTCAGAGAGATTGCTCCATTCATGCCTAGCAATATCCCCCTTAGTAGTTCTTGCCAGGTCCAAGTATTCCCTCCTGAGCCAAAAGATTGTTTAATGAAGGCTGTCATAACTTTTGATGGAAGATTACATTTGGAGGCAGCAAAGGCTTTGCAGCACATCCAAGGGAAAGCACTCAATGGTTGTTTTTCATGGCAGAAGATACAGTCCCAGCAGATGTTTCACAGTTCTGTCTCCTGCCCTGCTACTGTTTATTTTGTTATCAAGAGACAGCTGGATTCTTTATTGAGCAGTTTCAAGCATCGAAAAGGTAATTCCTATGGCTAGTTTAAGATGAAAAGTTCATTTCCTTTTAATTTTTCCCTTGCTATCCTCCACATCCCCTTCCCTGTGTGTGCATCCTAGGAATATAATCTTCTGGTGGTTCTATTTCCTGTACCCACTATTTATGGTCTCCATGGTTGCATAATGTCTTTTATACCTTTCTTACATTAGTTGCTTTTAGTTTCTGGAATGAAGGGTAACATATTTAAATGATTTATATACAAATAGCCAGTTTTCTTTCTTATACTTACAATGGTTGGGGATTTTTTTTAATTTGATTATGTTCCTGTATAAATAATTATCAGCCATTTGTTAAGAATGGCTTGGGCACTGGCTGAAACATTTTTTTCTTTATGCTACAGTAACTTTTCAAATATCTTTCTCATTGCACTTGTGTTCTTTTTTAGTGTGGCTGACTACATTCATATAGTACTTATACCAAGCAGATTATAGATGAACCATCATAAAAAATAGAGAACAGTTTATAGGATGGAAGAAGTAATTGAGTTTGGCTAATTGATATATAATTAATCTTAGTTCAACCTTTGCATTGGTTTTAAAAATATTGATTCCATAACCAAGACTATGTTAGGGAGGAGAGAGCTCTGGCATCTAGGGGAAGCCAGAACCTTTCACATCAGCAAGGAGATGGAAGAAATTTGTGAAAAGTGAAACGTAGGCAAAAATCTTCATTTTGGAAGAGGTGTGGATGAGAAGGGTTGCAGCACTGAAGATGGTAGAACTACGAAAAACTTCACTTATTCTCGTTGGAATAGCAGTAAGCTGGTTTCTGAAGGTTTTATAAGGAGCAAAGTTTCAGATTTCAAATAAGGTTGGAAAAGCTCACATTTGGAGGACAGGAGGAAATACTTAGCAGAGAGGAAAGAGAATATGAAAGGTTGCTTTATTGGAGTTTATGAGCACTACGGGGAAGGCCTTGAGCAGTACACCTGCTTCCCAGAGGACAAACGAGTAACAGGTTGGACAGCAGTTGGGAAGGCAATACATGATTACACACAGTTCTCAGAGATCAGGCTGGTGGCTTTGGCGGAAGCAACTGAAGTGAAGTCCTCGAGGAATAAAAGGACAGAGAGGGTATCAAAGACCTCAAAGTATGAAGAGAAGGTGGGCGAGCAGGCTGATCCCAGAAGGGAGTTACATCTGTCTTTGAACCTGCAACAACCAAAACTGTGGATTAATGCCTCTGAAGAGTACTGGAAAGAAGGGCTGGTGTTATCTACAAAAGGAAGAGTTAAAGATTGGAAAGCCTTGGGTGAAGAAATAAGAGGGGTGTTGAAGATAACTGATCAGTTGGAACTAATCCCTTTCGATGCCAGCAAGCCCCTGTTCTTTCCTCCAGTGACTATCGCAGTTTGCAGCGATTTCAGTGGAAACTAAACAGGGCCTGGCATTGGTTCAATGATGGTCTCCTTCTTGCAATGAAAAAGAGGTCAATCTGTCCACCCCTATAACTATTCAGATTCTGGGTTTGCCTTTTCACCTTTGGTAAGAGAATGTTTTCTCCATGATAGAAAAAAGTTAGTGGTGGAGAGTTGGAGAGCTTTGAAACCTCAGACTTGAAGGCAGCACATTTGAAGCTGGTTGCCGAAGCCAGAACAGATCCCAAGGTCGGTGGAAATCTTCTCTGATGGAGTAGTATACAGAGTCTGGATCACCTCCTCCGCTGAAGCTCAGTGGTGGCTGGAAGGTAGCTGCCTTGAGGAAGAAGGTGATGATGTGGATCGAGGTTAATGGTTGAGCAGAAGAGAGTCAGACCTTTCCTAAGAATGGAACAGCAATCGACTGGAAGCTTGAAAGTCGCAGGTCACGCTACCCGGACGGTCGAACCGTTGACCCGGAAACTGATGGCCAGAACGGTTCCGTTTCCGGATCGTTTTTTTAAAACGTTGGTGTAGATCATTCATAAATGTATATGAGTTACATGGAATCAAAAAGTGTGGTGTGGACTGGTCCACACCACGCCTACAGAACGCCACTGTAGGTGTGGACTGGTCCAGTCCACAGGGTGTAGTGTGGACCAGTCCACACCCACCAATTTCTCATCCACACTACAGAACACCCCCTGAATCCTACGGCTCCCTTCAAATCCTTTGCTCAGGTGGTTGCGTGTGATGCAAGGAAAACACCTGTACGATGTGTAGGGCTCTTAAGACAGGTAGATGGTGATCAATTATCTGTAAACTGAGTGGGCCATTCAGTGGAGCCAGCTAGCTTAAGGTCTGAAGTGGCCTGACTTTTCTCAAAGGACAAATCGAAAAACTATGGGCCTCAGTCACGTGAACTTTTAAATGAGCATGTGATCCCTCTTAAAAAATCTTGGACTATAGACCAAAAAACTGGTCTATGTTCTTCCTCCACGAACCAGAACAAAACTGTTGCAGGGGTCTGTCGCTCGAAGGGTCGAACAAGCTCTCTTCAATGGTAACCCTGCCTCCCATCAGGCAAAGTGGCGACAAACCACCCAAATCCTAGATACTCCAGGGCTAAGTCGGTTGATTCAGAAGGCACAGATGAGGGATGGGTTGACTACAACGCCTCAGACATTGAAGAAATTGACTCAGATGAAGAGTCTTGTATTGGAAGTATAGATGGGAAGCAGGGTCTAAGGGCTGAGGACTTGGAGGACCTAAACACAGAAATCTTATTTGATGAAGAAAACAAAAACATACCCCGTCAAGCTACCCTCGTTTACAAGAAGCTCAGGCTGCATAAAGAAGTGGGGACACTGGTTCCTAGGATAGAAACGGGAGAAAACTGAAAACTTGGATGAAGAAGTCTCCAGATCCACTAATTCACAAGAACAGGTTGAAAGTAAGAAGGGAGACAGAGTTCATCAGTTCTTAGATAGATCTGCCCCAAAAGCGGATGAACACCCTGTCTCTGAGAGTGGTCAAAGGTTGATTTCTCCAATGACAGTTCCCTTCAAGACAAATGAAACAGGGCTGGAGGGCCTTAACCATATAACTTTGCAGGATAATGCTTTTAAGACCAATGACCTGGCTCCCCCGAACCAACCCCCTCCTTTACCAGGTATGTTTGTCAATTCGTTTTTGGTTACTGATTCCTCTACTTTGCCTGTAGCAGGTGCTTCAGCGTCTGCTTCTCCCATTGTTCCAAGAACTTTAGATTGGGAGGTGAAAGGGGGTTAGAATAAATAGTGAAGAGGATGAGGTGGAGTGAGGGGAGAGAATTTGGGACCTCATTAGAGCTCTGTTTGAGGAGTTAAAAAATAAGGAATTGGAGAGCTCTAAAACATATTCAGGAGTGTTGGTTCAGCAGGAAAAGGAAACCGGAGGAGGTAGCATTCATCCAAATGAGAAGGATAAAAAAGGGAAGGGTAGAGCAGAATTTGAAGATTCAGTAGCTGTCTTTGTTGAAAGGTTAGGGTGTAAAGTCAGAAACCCCAATGATCTGAAAGTTTATAACAAGTCAGAAGTAAAGGTGCGTAAAAGGAAATTGTCTGAAGTGGAGAGGTTAAGACTAGACCTTGAAGGAAAGAGGGAGTTTAGTGGGAAAGGGGAGAGAAAAAGAGGGGGAAGGTAGAAACCTCTAAACAAAGGGGACAAAGACTTTGTGATAATGAGGATTATAAGCTGGAACGTAAGAGGTTTGGGGAGTGCCAGGAAAAGAGCAATAATAAAGGAGGTATTCAAAAGGGAGAAATCGGATATAGTGCTTCTGCAAGAGTCCAAGCTAACAGATTTTGACATTAGGTGGGCTAGAAGCCTTTGGAAAGCAAGGGGAATTAGTTGGGCTTATGCACCTTTTTGGGGTTCCTTAGGAGGCATAGTTACATTATGGAATAGCAAGGTGTTGGAAGGAGTTAGAAGAGTTGGTCGGCAAGTTCTTAGTATCTATCAAATTTCATCAGGTGGGGGATAGCTTCAAATGGGTGTTGACTAATATTTATGGCCTCAATGATACAGGGAGAGAAATGAAATGTGGGATGAACTTAGTGACATCGGAGGACTTTGGGAAGGGCTTTGGTGCATTGGAGGTGACTTTGATGTTGTTAGATTCACGAAGGAGACAAATAATCATAGGCAGAGAATCATGACTAGCATGAGGAAGTTTAATCAATTTATGATTCTTTTGAGCTTAAGGATTTACCCCTTCTCCGTAACAGTTTCACTTGGTCAAACCTTCATATTAACCTTATTTTCTCAAGGCTTGACATATTTCTTTTTTCTCTAGAATGAGAGGACCATTGGGGTAACCTAGTCTCTAAGGCTTTACCTAGAGTCACTTCAGATAACTGGCCAATTTCGTTAAGCAAGGAGGAGATGGCTGGTGCAGGACTGGCCCCTTTTAGATTTGAAAATATGTGGCCTTGCCACCCTGGGTTTATCCAAAAAGTGAAGGATTGGTGGTTTGAATTTAGACCCAGAACTAGGTGGAAAGGAATGAAGTTCCATAGGAAGTTACAACTCTTGAAGGAAAAAATTAAGACTTGGAATATGGAGCATTTTGGGAGACTAGAAGAAAGGAAGCATGAGGTGTTTGATCAGATTGAAGACCTAGACTTGAAGGAATCGCAAGGTTTGTTGGAGGAGAGAGATAAAGAGTTAAGATGGATTCTAAAGAAGCAATTGGAAGAATCCTATACATCGAGGAAGTTAGTTGGAGACAAAAGTCAAGGCACAAATGGATCAAAGAAGGGGATATGAATACAAAGTTTTTTCATGCAATGGCTAATGGGAGAAGGAGGAATTTTGTGACCAAATTGGAGATAGATGGAGAGGTTCTTACCCAACAGGGAGATATTTCCGTGGCCTTTGCGAATCATTTCAGATCCATATACAGGAAACCCCTTTGTGAAAGAGTATGGGTGAAAGAGTTTGGATTGGCCCTGCTTATCGGAAGATCTTAAGTTAAGGCCAGAGAGGAATTTTGACTTGGGGGAAATTAAGGAGGCAATATTCTCTATGGATAGATCCAATTCTCTAGGGCTAGATGGTTTCACTA